CAAATATTAAAACTTATATATATAAGGAGAGAGAGAGAGAGAGAGAGAGAGAGAGAGAGAGGTGAATTTGAAACCAGCAAGAAGAGTTTCAAGTGGTGAGGGATAAGGATTGAATAGTATTTTGGTTTTTAGTAATTAACTTCCGATTATGGTATGCTTCTTGATGATCTTTGTGTCACAATGACGAGCAAAGGTTTTATAGAATCTACAACTGATGAAATACACCATATAGTTGTACACATAATAACACACACTCATGTGTATGTGTGCTTAGTTAGCAGTTATTTTTGTAGATCTACGAAATTAAACCACATGATGTATTTCACCAAGTTAGGATCTCATAAGCCATAAGCAAGTGGTCTAATAAAACCTCATTCTGGCCCCGCCAATCGAAACATGATATAATCTTCAAAATCAACGTATGTAGTTGCGATAACAGTGACTATTTTGAACTATGTTCCTATCTAATTGTACGTAGTAGGGTTTTTTGGCCTCAATATCGAACCGTCTAGTAGCTAATTTTGTATCGTCTCAAACAAAATTTGCTTGGCCATTGCATAAATAGATAGGGGTGATGATTAATTTGTTGGTGGTTAGGGATTTCCCACAATTGCCGTATGTTTACAAAATACAAGACATTAATTTCATTGTCCTATTTAAAATGTTAGTATGTTAGGTAGAGGAAGTCCCACATGGAACAAAAACTATGGGAAAGTGTTGGAGCAGTAATATAAATAGAGAAGTGGTGTGTTTTGGAAAATTACTTACCTGGACGAGGTCGATGCGCGATCAATAAGGCCCATGGCCTAGATTGATGGCCTCCATTGCACTCCGGAGGGGCTCCAGTCTAAGGTCGGTCCAAGTGGTCGAGCCTACGTCATAATTTGTGGTAGAGGGGGCCTGCGTTCGCGCGGCCCCCACCTAATTCCTAGTTTAATGTTTTGTTGGGGTGTTTTGAGTTAAAATAATCACTTAATTATCTAAAAGATATTCAAATTATGTGCTATGTATATATTATCATTGTTTAATCAAATTTTATTGATATTTGATTTTGTACAATTGAAATAAGAGTTAAATCAAGTGTGAAATATGAGATATTTGTTACGAAAATAAATAAATGAAAATGTATGAACACTTATAAAAGTGATATGATTTGATTAATTTATGCATTTTGTTGGAATTTGTATGATCATATTTGTAGGAACATTAATGCTATTTTGGTAATTTAAATTTCATAACTAATTATTTTAATAGTGTGTGATTTATTTTTTGAATACAATTTAATTATCATAAATTTAAATTTTGTTCATTTTTGCAATGTTGTCCCGTGCATCGCACGAGGAGAATTGCTAGTACATAATAATATTGATATTATACGTCTGAACAAAAGTGACCTTAAAATCGCTGAAATGTCGTTGAAAAGTCATAAGAATGTCACAAAATTTTCGCCAGAACGATTATATGTCTCGCCGACTAGACACGGCCACGGGCCGCTTTTGGGCCCGGAACCGGCCCGAACCGGCCCGTTGACGGCCCAAACCGGCCCGTTGACCGTGTGAACCGGCCCGTCCTACCCGGGACGGGCCCGGTTCTTAGATTTGGTGAACCGTGAACCGTCGGGCCGGCCCGGCGGTTCACCCGGATTTAAAATAAAAAAAAAAAAAAAAAATTCAAAAAAAAGTGAATAACGGCCGGTGAACCGGCCCGAACCGGCCCTGGTGAACCGGCCGTGATTTACTTTTTTTTTGAATTTTTTTGAATTTTTTTCCCCCCCAATTTTTCCTATAAATACCCTCACACCCCAATTTTGCTTTTTTTTGAATTTTTTTGCCCCCAAACCCCTTTTTCCTATAAATACCCTCACACCCCAATTTTTCCTATAATTTACTTATTCATCAAATATTTCAAACTTGTGCTTCTAAATTGAATTTTCATTTATTTCCTTTTCCTTTATCTATTTAAAAGTATTTCTTTTAATTTACTTATTCATTAAATATTTCAAAAAAAAAAAAAAAATCAAAATTTCCGGGCCGACCCGGAACCGGCCCAGATAGGCCCGTGAACCGGCCCGAACCGGCGGGCCGACCCGGCCCGGTGAACCGTGCACGCCACGGGCCGGTTCCGGTTCCGGAAAATGTGAACCGTGAACCGGTCCGAACCGGCCCGGAACCGGCCCGAACCGGCCCGTGGCCGTGTCTATCGCCGACCATTTACCGCCATTGTCAAACTCCGCAAGGGGCTGCTAGATTCATCAAACCTTCAAAGACAATATTCATTTGCTTTTTAGTAGTTAAGAATGTAATGAGGACGTTTTTAAATGGAAACAAATTTTTGGGAATTTTTAGATATTATTAATTCCTTGAGGGTTTTTTGGGTAATACTTTAAGGACTTTTTGTAATTTATGATTTAGTCAACCGCTAATTAGATGGAGGTTTTTTTTTTTGGCAAAAAAAAGTTTTAATTATTCCATTGTAATAAAGCGTTGTGCGGCCTCGTTAAAACCTTATGGACCTAACAGGGAAAAAGAATACCCCTATAAATTACAATGGTAATAAAAAATCCGAAACGACCCTATCGAGTCTATTACAATGCAGCCTCAAAATGAGGTAAACAGAAAATAAAGAAGAACTTTTATTCCTATGGTTGCAACTACTACTAAAATTGCAAAAATACCCCAGGTAGGGTTGAAACGCAAATCAACAAAATAGACAAACTTCTCCACTTGACTTCATGCCGCAAGCTTCAGAATGATCCTACCTGGGGTATAATGTATATGCTTCATGTGGTTCTGGATCTTCTACAAAATTGAGAGATTTCGTTTCTATCTAATGTCAATAAGGATCGGATATGTCGAGGAAAATCACTGATCTCTCGATATTGCTTCGTCTCTTTGAGATCATGAGCCAGTTTAGCTAGGAGGAAACCATCGAATCGCTGCCCTCGCTTAAAACTAGGATCCTTGAGGCGGAGATGTAAATGCTGAAGAAAGAATTTTCCCGGAGTTGTCGTCTTAACTTTGGGCACCATTGCATCGTTTAAGGCAGTAAGGGATAAATGAATATGATGAATTATAGAGACGGAGGTCATTGGTTTTCCTTCGGAAATGGCAAGACAACGACTTTTCCATATTTCCCAACAACCGAAAAATAATATCCCGAGTGAAATTAAACCTTCTTGCGAGTAAATCGACCCCTCACAAGGCCCAAGTTTTAAGGAGATGTTGCATGGACCATATACACAGGGCTTTTGCCAGATTTCAACGTAGTATTTCCAAACCCCGATTGCCACATCCGATTGGACAAAGAGATGGGAAAGACTTTCCAATTGTGGCGAAGCATAACAGTGATATTTCGATGGAGAGGTGCAACCCCTTTTAATTACTTCGCGCCATATCCACAGGAATAATGAACACCCTTATTTTCCTTTGTACAGATATTATGATTATCCCAGTATGCAGCAATTGTAAACACCCCAGTCGGAGATTGGGTGAAAACCAACCGATCTTCAAATTATTCATCAATAGAAATCACCTCAAAATTTTTACATTGAGCCGGCGTGAGGAATTCCCTATATGTTTTTGCTTTTGATGCTTGGCTTCATAAAAAGCGAGGGTACGAGTCTCGTCAAGAATATCGTCATCATGCCATAATCGATATGAACTTTGCCAATGATCCAATTGGAAATTATGAATACATGAGAAATTTCTTAGTAATTAGACATTAGTTCAGGTTGATTTTGGTTATTCACCCATTAAAACATTATTCAGCAATTACATATACATTTAGTACAAACAAAAATTAATTAATTCTTACAAGGGTATATTACAGCAATCCCATGAGGTAAACTCAAATTACAAAAAATCCCATCATGTTTGGGTAATTACAACCACCCATCAACTATGAATCTTCTAGATTATGTCGAATATTCTCCAATTTGTACCCGTTTTACCCCCATTCGAGCCCCACATTTTAAAACAAGAAGATTATAAGATGTGTCTCTTGACTTGTAATTATGAAATCGCGGTGCATCATAAAATGCATTTTTACATAAATGAGTACAAACTAGAGAACATCTCACATAATCTAGGAGATTATGTCGAATTTTACACCATAAGGGTAGATGTTTAAGAAAGATTCATAATTGAGGGGATAGTTGTACTTGTAATTACTCAAACATGAAGGATTTTTTCGTAAATTAACTTTAGCTCAGGGGTTGGCCCTAAATTATCCTTTTTAAAATACTAGATCTTGTATAAGTAACTAATACAAAATCAAACTTAGCAAAAGGGTTTTAGAAATTATAAAAAAAAAAAAAAAAAAAAAAAAAAGAAAAAAAAAAAAAAAAACAAGAGGAAAATTCAACATTGAGATCACAATGGCTAACAATTTCACCTGAAAAAGATGTTTAAGAAAATTATAAGCACAAAATTTCAAATTGCAGAGAGTGATATGTAGCTTATTCAATTGATGATAACAACATTTTCGCCATCGACAAATATTCGTTTAGCAGCCGAAGAGATTTCAGACTTGGGATTTGCTGTTCTGAGTTGGGCATGAGTCTCGGCTTCCTTCTCAAACATCTTCACAAGTTGCTGAAGCTCTAATTTTCTCACCTCAGCTCTCTCTTCAAACAACGGCTTTTTCAGTCCCAAATATATCAACCCAATCACTATTAGAACCGCACCTATTAAAAAGAGTACACCCGAAAAAATTGCAAATGCGTAAGGCGAATTATTAGAACCGGGAATTCCATCGACATTTATTCCCCATAGTCCGGTAATAACCGAAAGTACGAGGCCGCAACCTCCAAATACTCCCAAGTTATGCTGCACTCTCAGGCTCTGGTCCTGAAATATCAAATTACCGTAATAAATAAATTCGTTCCTATAGAAGAAAATTTAAATAAACCCCAAGAATATGAATCTCATATAAAATCCAAATTTGCTAAGGCTATGTTTGGATTAAGGAAAATGTCAAGTAAAAAGATGAAATTAAATTGATTTGGCGGAAAAAGTCGAAAATATTTAGAGAAGCTGTAAAGGGCACCTGCAACCACGCACGAACAGTATTCTGCATGGCGTCCTGTATTGTGAACAAGCGACCACGAACTGCTTCTTGCTCGTGTATCATTTGCCTTGTGCTCTTTCGTATTCCTTCTAGAAGGCTCCTCGCTACATCTCCCCTTACATGTTGGACAAGTTCAAACACAATCTCCTCCCTGGCGTGTAATGACCATTTTACCCTTATTACCTATTTACGAACAAGAAAACCTGCCCGATTGTTACCGCATTGCTGCCCTCAGATTGCAAACATTTTATTTAAAGGATAATAACATATATGGACCATCCCCTCAACTACAGTAATCGAAATAAAACAACTCGCCAAAAAATAAAATTCGAAAATTTCATTTTCCAACGGGACCGTGTGAGGATACCTGTGTCGACAGTCTTCTAATTTCTTGGTTCAGAATTATGCTGAACATGTGCATATCCTCTTGAGTTCTCCTGTTGAGATAACAAAAAGCGTAAAACTAAATTCTTTCCAATTGATAAAAAAAAAAAAAAAAAAATCGTGCAAGTATATACAACAACGAAATTACCTGTTCATGAACTTCAACTCAACTTCATCTGCTGCTCCAAAAATGTATTTACGGAACAACCTAGAAAGATTAATACATTTTACGATTTATCGTCAACACGAATTTCAAAAATATGATTACGAAATAAATTTAAAATTTTTGACCTGTCATCCCAGCGGGCAAGGCGAGAAGCAAGAAGAGCGACCACCTCGTGACTTGTTCGCGGTGCATTACTACCTCCAGCTGCAAGCAGTTCCTAATCCAAATACCAAATCATAGTACTTAATCATAAAATATCCAAAAAAAAAATATTTATTCCAATAAAGAAAAAACAAAATTAACCATCTAGGAATTTTCGAAAAAAGAAACAGCACGATTGCACGGTGCTTATTGTAATATAGAGACATATCTACAAACCTGAACTTCGGAAACACCTAGCACGTTCATGTCTGATGAAGAACCTTTCACATGCAATGCAGTCAACAGAAAATTTTGTGCTTGCCAAGATCTTATTACAACCGGGATGTCGTCTTCTTCAAGAAAAGGGTCGCCAACCGACTGTCCTAACAGCTCAAACAGTAGTCCACCAGCTACTCTTACAGGAACCTGTTCATACGGGCGTAAGTATTTACGCAACTATGCGTGTATTTCATGTACTGCCGTTTTTCCCAATTTCATAACCGCTTCAAAGTATTTCATAGATGAATTATTATGTCTAATGCTTTCTTAGGACAACATGAATTAATGATTCATGAAAGTTAAAGGAATAATCCTTGTACCGAATCCATGATCACTCTTCTATAAGTTCTCTCAGAGAGTAAAATAAGTTACACCGTTTATCTCTTTAGGCCTTGTTTGGTTGCCAAGATAAGATTAAATAATCTAATGAACCCAGTTATATTATTGGACCTTGGAAGATCCAATAAAAAACATGCCAAGATAAGTCATGATAACATAATATTTGCGGGTCGACCCGACAAGTTATTGGGATACCAAATATCAAACAAAGTCCAATTATTTAGTTAATCATGATCAATCTCCCCAACCAAACGAGGCCTTACGATTATTAAAATCTCACACGGCCTTCAGATTTCCTAATCTTCCCACTTCTCCCTCCATTGCACCTCCCGAAAAGGAAAAAAAAACGATTACAGATAAGATAAAACTTTGCAGATTCTATTAGTGAGAAGAATATTACCTCATAAAGGAGGTGCTTCATACGTTCACTTATGAGCTTACTTTCATCTCTCAACGCAACACCGATTGCAGGATGTAACCACTGTGCATTGCTCAACCACGATACTATACAAGGGTGACTTGCGTCTACGTGGCACCACCAAGTGGGCCCCACAGGGCATTCCCAGTAGGGAGTCGCCACATCCGCAACCGTCAAATCATCATTTTCGTCGTCGTCTGTTTCAATAGGCTGTTGAGAGCCCCAAACAGAGTCACAGTCAACTTCCACCTTATGAAGGAGTTCGGAAATCCTATTCCAACCGATCGGTGTCCAGTAATTTCTGCTCCCTCTTATAAATTCGAAAGCAAATATCAGCCCGTCAGTCCATAACTCGCTACCTATTATGTCATCCCTCGAAAATTGCTTTTCTTGATAATTTTCTTGTTTATTCGAACCATTGCTCATTTTTGCAAGATTATCCCAAAGTTCATATGTAAGAAACTCGCCCAACGAATATAGAAAGTCGAATATCTGAAAATTAAATACAGAAAGTAAAAATCAATCTGTCTAAAGTCATAAATACTTCACATTTAAATTTAATTTAATTTCATCAATTAAATTTAATTTAATTTAATTTCATAAATTAAATGGGAAGATCAGGCATATAAAAAAAAAAAAAAAGGATTATCGAATTTTCTTCCTACATCCTTTTACGAAATCGCCAAATGAAGGGTAACAAAACTTCACCAGATTCTGATTTACAGAAATCAATTTATTCCGGAGATTCCTCAACTAGCTTGAATCATACACAGCTCGGAAATAGTGAAAACCATCAAAAACCAGACTTAAAATACGAAACAATTATCGATAATCGGTGGGTAATTTGCTAATTAAGAAATGCTCAATCACACATTGAATACATGATAAAATCAATAAATTGAGGATGAAAAAAGTATGTAGATTGAAGATATGAACAAAAATAGTAAGTAGCGAAAGCTCTACCGTGGAAACACCACCTCTCTTCTTCCGGCTAGAGCTGGTCGGAACTCGCCGGAAAATTGAAAAGATGCTGCTTTATGCAAATTGTGCTGAGTACCGATTCGAATTCGTGTGTGTGGTGGTTGAATGCTACTCACTGAATTTTATGGATTCGGATTTTGTGTGCGCCTGCGTGTAATACCCGGAAGAATATTGCGAGTGTACTCAAAGTAGTGGTTATTTGCTTCTCTGAGCTTAGTTCTGGTTATCCCCAGTTGGTTGGAAGAATTTGGTTCTCTCTCTCTCTCTCTCTCCTTTCTGTTTTTCTTCTTTTTATTATTTTTTTTTTATTTTACGGTAAATTATGAAAACCCTCTTGAATTAGGTTAAATTATGAAGAATCACCCACCTACCTGTAATTATCAAAAATCCCCAACATTTGTTTCCGTCTTACACCGACTCCCTAGTGTTGTAAATTTTCATAGAAACTTTTTCAAAGAATCTTTTTTATTCAAGTTAATATTTTCCGAAAACTGTCAATTCTACCTCCGCAACCGTGACCTTTCTTTCGGTCAAAATTGAATTTCGTTTTTTCTAAGCAATTTAAGGTCATATACATGTTTAAAATGTTCAAAACTAGTATTTAAGATAGGATCATTAATAATAAGCCCCTCATATAGCTAAAAAATGGTGGTATGTTCATCGCTTAAATCTTTCTTTGTGATAACTCCTAGAAATTTATTCCCAATACTACTCTTATGTCAATTAATATAGTTTGCAAGGTTCTAAATGGCGGTTAGGGACCGCCACACGATAAATCGGCGCAGCGGTGATTTATCGGAGATAAATCGGAAATAAATCGATTTTTAAATTTAGTGTTATATATTTCTAAATATTATTTGTAAATACTCAAAATATATATAAAAGTATATTTAAACATAATTCTATCCTATCATTCATATGTTATTATATAATTCTAATTACTCAATAAATAACAAAAATATAAAAATAATAAGATCATAATATAAAAAAAGATTCTTACGAAATACAAATACTACGCAAGTCTTTCGCATCAACAATTAATATAACACAACAAATCATAAATTGCGGGGTAGTACTTGGTTTGGTTTTGGAAGTTGAAAGAATTGGAGAAATAAAAAAAAAACAAAACATATTTTCATTTTAATTTAAATAAAAAAAAAAAAAAAAAAAAACCGATTTGTTGACCGATATATCGGTTTGACCCGCCAAAAAACCGCCGCAAACCGCCTCGCAGTAAAAAACCGATATTCCAAACCGCCTCAACAAAATCGTAAAGGTTTATAACCGATACCGATATGGCGGCCGATATATCGACCGCCACGACCGCTATTTAGAACATTGATGAAAATTACTCTGTGATTAACGAAACCACTATGTAATTAACGAATTACATTATGTTTCATTGATTTTTTATTGATTTTATGTATATTTTGTTAAACCTAGCAACTCTAACCAAGCAATGATAACATCTGATGTATAGAATTGACATCACGATCGATTAATATATATACCGAACGAATCTAGCACATCATGTCCAAGTTTTGAAAATAAACCCTAGTGCGTGCTTGAGCGAATCAACTGACGTTAACAATAGAACCCTAGCACCGCCATTGACGAGAGGATTCTAGGGGGAAAAAATTGCCCCTAAATTCCGTCGTCGTGGAGGAAAAAAATCGCAGGGAAAAAAACAAGTCAGGGGGAGAAATGAAGAGAGAGAGAGAGAGAGAGACATATGTAATACAAATTCACAATAATGCCCTTCTTAAGTCGCAAATAAACTCATCCCCATGTCTTTTGACAAAAATACCTATCATAATATAATTTTCATAAATTTGATCCATTATACAACTTCATCAAGATTGCACATTGACACTGGATTTGAACAAATACATCACATTAACCTCTATTTTCATAATTTTTTGAAAAAAACTATTTTTTTAGAAAATAATTTGTTTCCCAACCAGATTTCGGCGTTGACTTGTTTTTTTTCTGAAACTTTTTTTTTGTTCCCTTTAAATTACTGTGCTAACAACAAAATTATTGTTGAGACAGTAATATTGAATGTCAAAACAGTAATATTACGGTCAAAAACAGCAAAATTGTAGGCCAAGACGATAAAATTAATTAATATAATAAAATTACTGTCTTAGTCAGACAGTTAAATTACTATCTCCGACAGCAATATTACTGTCTTCAAGACAGTAATATTGCAGGCCAAGATAGTAATATTAATTAAAATAATTTTTTTAAGAAAAAAAGGATTTTAAGAAAAAAAAAGTGAACGGCGGCAGTCTCCAGCGGTCAAAATTAGGGTCAAAATTGGTTAATTGGTGAAACTGGGTTAAATTGGGGTGTAAATCATGAAATTGAAGTTGAATTAGGGTTTCAAGGAGTTGGGGGTAATTTTGGTATATATATAAAAGAGTTTTATCTTATTTGTAAATAAATTTGAATGAGGTAGATTTATTTACAATACAAAAAAATTGGACGCCATTTTTTTAATTAAGTGCTCATGTCATGAGCTTATTGTCATTTAGCCTTTTATCCTTTTATCAATATATTACTTTACAAAGTTTCATTATGTTATTCATATGGGAAAATTAGAGAAAACTCCCCCATCTAGGAAATATAGCTAAGGAAACACCCTCTTCCAAAAATAATTAGAGAAAACCTCATTAACTAATATTCTACTCGAGTGATATTTTTATAATTCCAAAACTACCATTAATTGTCTATTATACTCTTTCAAAGATAATCTTATTTTTCATTACCCATTCCGCTTTCTCGTTTCCAACTTTCTCCCTTCTATGTTTTTTCTTCTTTTTTTTCCTCTGTTTTTTCCGGCAAATCTTCTCCCCGCCACCGCCATCGGAAGATGGAGAAAGAAAGAAGAGGAAAGAGGAAGCACTAGTCGTTGGCGTGTGGAGGAAGAAGAAGAAGAGGAACATGCTGTTAAGAAAGAAGAGGAAACACTCGTCGTTTGATGAGAATCAACGAAAATTGTTGATTAAGGTATTAGTATTTTTCATTTTTTTGTTTTTTTACTCTTATTATTTTTTCAGTGTTTGTTTGTCATGTGTCCAGAAATTGTTTATGGAGTGGCCAGTAATTGTTGACAAATCATTTGAATTGTTCCTGTTTTTTTTCATTAACATTGAAATACCAATTTGTGTTTTTTTTTATGAATTATTTATTTTTGTTATTTTATTTTTGTTAGGGATTGGTTGAATAGTGTGGTGTAGCGGCGGTGTGATGACGATGGGGAGGCAGATCTAGTATTTTTTGGTGAACCATGCGGATGACGGCACGTGTAGAGAAATTCGCGCAGGCTGGAACCTTAATTGACTATATACATGTTCGATAGTCAATTAAGTTAATCGACTATGCTCTCGTAGTCGATTAAGGTTGATCGACTCCAATATATTTTTTTTTTCGAATTTTTGTTTATTGATTCCAATTGTATAAATCAATTATAATGTTTGTATATGTTTTGTTTTTTTGTAAAATATGATTGATTTTGCGTTTTTTTTTTCAGTTGTGATTGTTATTTGTAGTAGCAGATTCTTAATCGACTATGCTTCATCATAGTCGATTACTATACCTGATATAGAAAAATATTAAAAGATAAAAAAAAATTAAAAAGTTTAAAAAAATTAAAGAATTTCCTTAATTGACTATGTTTCATAGTCGATTCTCCTTAATCGACAATGCTTCATAGTTGAATAATAAAACTGATACGGAAAAAAACCGCTGATGACCAGCCCGTGACGCAATGATGATGTGACGGGCTGGGGCAGAATTGGAAAAAGAAGTAAGGATGGGATTTTTCTCAAAGACTTCTATTTATATTATAATCTAGAAATATTTACTTGTTTTCTGCAATTCTTTTTACAAATAATTCTTAAAGAAACAAAAAAAAAAAAAAAAAAAAAAAAGAAAGTAATTTTTGTATAAATGAAAAATTAAAACATTCTACCACAAGGGCCCTGATTTTGGAATCTCTATCGGAATTTTACATGTGAACTTATTATTGCTTGGGAAAAACGTTTGACGAAAATTTGTTTTCCTTTTCAAAAACATTTTTCTCTTTGATATTTGTTTTGCATAATATTTCAAAAATAAAGATTTTAAAAAAATAACTCTAATTCACCCTATTGAGCACATTTTGTATATCAGACTAGAGGATGTTTGGCTAAGTCTATAAATTCTTGAAATAGTTTATAAGATGTTTAGAGTTTATAAACTCTTTCTAAGCCTTTGATTTTTTTTTTCGTAAAAATCTTAAAAACTCAAAAAATAAGTAGTTATAGAGCAAATAAGCTTATTATCCAACAAACACTTCAAAATTTTAAGCTGTTAAAGTGCAAATAAACTTATTAATATGTTAGACTACATCTACCATTCCTAAACAATAGATAATAAACACGTTATTCAAACACTTCAAAATTAATTATAAAAGTAACGCGTAACAGTTTATCAGCTCTTAAAATAGCTTATCAGACGAGAGCTTATTCCGACAATGCAAATAATTTCATTTTGAAATTTTGAGGTTTCTATAAAAATATTAGATGTATTAAACTAGTTTAATATTAACACCATACGGCTGATAGTCAATATATATAACACTTTACCTAACATAAAAAGAAGCATAACAAAAAACTATAATTTATTGTAAAGCTAACTAGCTTATATATATTTGATATCAATTGGTCAAAAAGAACAAATTTATGGAAAGATTTGGAATGATGTACCTGGACTGAATTGAAAGTAATTTTCGTCAAAACCCGAATGTCATGCACACAGTGTAGTCGGTGTATGAGATGCTACACTTAGTGAAAAGCACCGAGTGATTTTGATCATAGATCTATAGAAAAATCTCTCACTAAATACACATACACATACATGGGTGTGTTATTATATATAGATCAATGGTACAAATCACTCGGTGTATATTTTATCTGGTGTAGCATCTATAAAATCAAGGGTAACATGCTTAAATGTAATAATTTGAGGTATATTATTTGAGTAAACTGCAGAAAGTACCCCTGTGTAATCTTCAAATAGCAAAACCCCCCTGTGATAAATAAACTAGCAAAAACCCCCCTGTGAAATTTAGTCAAAGGCCAAAAACCCCCCGTTGAATTAAGTGTGGCTCACTCGCGAGTTGCGCGACTAGTAGTAGGTTTTTGGACGTGAAATGACGAAATTGTCCATAAAAATGTATTTATATGTATATATTTTCCTTTTAATTTGATTGTTTAGAAATTAAAATATTGT